AATGTGCTGTCAAGAGGCCAGAATTACAAATAGTGCTGTCAGAGTTTCAAGCATAAAGATGCTGACTTGCTCAGATGGCATTGATTATTAACAGAGGCAGCTCTTTGTCAAGCTGTATAGCTTAGTAGCCAGTAAATACCCAGCTGTATTGACCTACTTTTATCTATAGTGTTGTGGGTTCACATTTGGATCTCCAAGCTGCCTGTCATATACAGTAATACTCAACTGAATAGGAACTATGAGTATAATTTCTCACCAGGATACTGTAGAGAAATGTTTGTTCAGCTTTGCTGCATTTTTTTCAGTGTTAAACATCCAAGTAAATAATAACACCTAGCTCAAATATAGTGCTTTTCATCAGTAGATGTCTAAGTGCTTTGCAAGGGAAGTAAACATCATTATCCCTGTTTTACAGATTGGGAAACCGAGGCACAGAAAGTTGAAATAATGTGCCCTAAATAACCAAGCAGGACCAGAGTCAGAGTTGGGATTAGAGTTATCCAATACGTAATACAGTGTGCTAGCCATTAATACCAGATTTATCAATTTGCCTAAACCCAGAAGACTGTCTTATGTTAAATCTGATGTTCATGTGTCCATGGAAATGCTAAAATCATTGCTGTGTAACAAATTAATGGCAGCCACCCAAGAGAGAAAAACATTCCCCTTCTTTATTAGAAATGCTTGACCTTTAGGGTATAAACAATCCCTAGGATTAAAAAAAAAACCCTGAATAATATGTCACTTTTCCCAGAGCTCTATATTGTATTTTCTTACTACCCAATAAAAAGAAATATATCATGAAAATTGAGTGGCAACATAGCGCATGACTAATACCTCCCAGTAAAGATTCATTTTTCTTCATGTAATGAAATTGCAAAAGCTCCTTTATTTTTGTCTCTCTAAAAAAAAAATCAAACATGAGAATCAATCTGTAAGGATTACATAACAATTATCATGAGACTAAGGTCACTGTCAGAGTGTTAGCAATGGGCAGACTCCCACTAATTTCAATAACAGTTCATTTTTAAAGACTGAGGCCCTGATTCTGCAATCACATTAACCCCTGAGTAATTTGACTCATGTAATTCCATTGACTCCAATATGTGCTTAGATTTACTCTCGTGTGTAATCCCATTGGAGTCTATTGACTCCAATGGGATTACACACGAGTAAATCTAAGCATATATTTCAATGTTTATATCACTAGGGACCAGGGGCAGATGACAGTTTTGCGGGGCCCCGGGCAGCGTAAATCCGCGGGGCCCCCCCTTTGCCACAGCGCATGCGCAGTGATGGCATGCGCATGCGCATGCACAGCGGCGCCACGGCGCATGCGCGGGGCTTTTTGAAGCGCGGGGCCCGGGGCGACCGCCCCGTTCGCCCTGCCCTATATCCACCCCTGCTAGGGACAAATGATAGCCTTTATACTTTGAATCAGAGTCTTTGGTACATTAGGTTCTGAAATTTTTTAGGACCAGTCAGGTTTAAGTGTACTAGCAGGTTTTGGAAAGAGAGGCTTCCATACACTTTTACAAAATTAGTTGTCCACAGGGTTTAAGATTTTTTTCCCTACGGCACTACATTGAAAAGCACATCCTAATTCTAGCCCAAGGGATACGTCTACACTAGCCCCCTAGTTTGAACTAGGGAGGCTAATGAGGGCGACCAAAATTGCAAATGAAGCGCGGGATTTAAATACACCGCACTTCATTAGCATGTTCCCAGGCGGTCGCCAGTTTGGAAATTGACTTGTTTGGGGTAACTGCCCGTGTCTACACGCGGCAGTGAAACGAGAGTTCAAAGTAAACCCCTAACTCAAATTAGCTGTTATTCCTCGTGGAATGAGGTTTAATAGCTAATTCAAGTTAAGGGGTTTACTTGGAACTTCCGTTTCATTGCTGTGTGTAGACGCGGGCAGTTACTCCAGGCTAGTCAATTTCCAAAATGGCGACCACCCAGGAACATGCTAATGACACGCAGGATATTTAAATCCCGGGCTTCATTTGCAATTTCGGTCGCCCTCATTAGCCTCCCTAGTTCGAACTAGGGGGCTAGTGTAGACGTACCCTAATTTTATTTTAGCAACTAGTACAAGGGAACAAGTAATTACGTCAGGATGAACAGTTGCAGCAGACTTTACACAAGCTAAAGCGTGGACAATATTTTCAGTGACAAACTTATTACTGTGTTGCAGGCAGTATTAATGCTTAGATTAGGTGAATCAAAGAGTGACTGAACATTTTAGAGGACTGTTAAATGGATTTGGAGCCTTTCACCTGTGCACACTATACCTGTTTAGTGGTGTGACATGGTATAACAGACACTGAGGCCTCTGCCACACCATGCCCCAGAAAAGGACAGTGAAGAGGGACCTCCTACCAGCCTAGAATGGCTGAGGGGCACACAGCCTGTCAGGGCCCAGCAAGTTAGTATAACAAGAGGTGCAGGAACAGAGTGAGAGCAGTTCCTTGCTGGAGCTAAAGGATTGTGACTCAGTGTACCTGGCGAGCTGAGGGAGCTACAGGATTTCAGACAGAGCAGAGGGGCAGAAGCTGGAGGCAGCAAGGGCTGGTTTCTGGGATGCAACTAAGACAAGGCCCTAAGATAAGGATGAAGAAGATGCAAGGCTGTGTGGAATCAGAGCTGTGGCAGCACGTAGATAAAGGTTCATGACAGATATAGTTGCTGTTGGAGGGTCCCTGGGATGGAGTAGTGGGTAGACCTGAGTCTCCCACATTAGCTGCTGGGGGAAATGGACAGGATTTAGAGGCACCCCCGTATAGGAACTGAACCCTTTAGTGGTCCAGCAAGAGAGCTGGGGCCTAAAAGGCCCAGAGGGGGCCAGGACATTACCTCCATGAGGGAAGCCTTGGAGTATGGCTTAATACCACGTCAGAGACCATTGATAAACTACAGGACTAATTAAGGACCTAATCATTAGGAGGTCTACAAGGAGAGAAAGTGCAGATGCATACACACTCGCGCGAGAGGCACTCATGAAAGGTGAGTGCAGTCCTTCAGAGGGGATAAAAGCAGAATGCCAGTTTCTAGGCCAGTCACTCTTGCACTTTTCTCCAGACATTTTAACAGAATGATGGGAATAATTAAAAGAAGCATTTCTTTTGCAGGCATGAGTTGCATTTTTCAATACCGTAAGCAACTACTTCTTTCATAAAAAGGGGTAGTTTTGTATCCTATAATATTGGTGAAAAAATATCAAGAAAATACATGTTTATAAGGTCAACGGTTGGGCTTCAGAAGTGCATTCTACAGTTCTAGGGAATATTGTATAGGAAGGGAAGATGGAAGTATGTGCCTAATAGATGTTCTGATTCCTTCTAAATCAGAGGCTCTGTAACTGTAGTTCATTGCCTTCTGGGGAGAAGTGGCAGATCGCAGTGTTTGCTACTGAAAGAAACTGGGCAGATGGGGAAAAGAAAAAGTAGACCATGGATAAAATTTTCAAACGCATCTAAGTGCCTTAGAAGACCCTTTCAGTGCGGAAGTTACTAAGATGCTTTTGAAAATGTTTGTGATTGTCATTTTTCATAAAGAACAAAACACCTATTGCACTGAAGATAGATTTTTGCTTTGGCATTTTAGGGAGTCACAGATGGGAGAAGAAGCTCTCTCTATTAAATAATCTCTCTACTAAAACATGAACTACACTATAGAACAATTTCAGAATTCTGGTAACATGTTCCTCCAAAGCCCCAAGATCCTGAAACTTTTTTGAAAATGTATTATCACCCCATAACAGAGATGCATTTTATGTGTTGTGGCTAATACTGGGTATAACTGTATGGAAGATGCATTTGATTTTTCAGTGAAATGCTAGGTCTTGTCTCCACTACGCAGTGCCGTCTATTTCAGCTGTGTAAATAGCATAGCTGAAGTTAACATACTTACTGTGGCATTTTACATGTGGTTAGGTCAGTGGGGGCTGCTCTCACATCAACGCCGGCTACTCTTCTATTTTGGTGGAGTACTGACATCGATGGGAGCTTGGTTGGAGATTGATTTATCATGTCTAGAGCAGATGCGATAAATCAATGGCCAGTGGATCGATCACTGCAGCGAATTTAATAATACAGTATTCAACACTAGGTTCTGCAAGGTTTCGAACACCTATTAATAACAAATTCTTTTTGTGTATTTATATATACATAAACAGGAGGCAGTATGGTGTATGGAACTCTAGCCTAGGAAATAGGAGACAAAGGGTTCTAGTTCAGCTGCGTGTCATTTTGCTGTACTATGTCTCATTTTCCCCTTCTGTAAAATGAGGATAATGAGTCTGACCTCCTTTATCAAGTGCTGTGAGCTCCACTCATGGAAAGTGCTATAAAGAACTACATATTATTGATCACATAATTTTGTGCAACTTTTGAAAACAGTAAAAGTATGTGTAGTCCCCTTGGGTGAAAAAGCACTTATGTAAGTCCACAGATGTGTGTTCCTGACAAAGTCAAACCAGACTATTTTGTAAGATTCCCTACTTTCAACTTGGTGAAATAAAACACTGACATGACTTGATCCAGTTAGGGCAGAGTTGGACCAAATTCCCTTTGTATCTACTGTGTTTTTTCTGTTAGTTTTTTTGGTTTTTGTGTTGTTTTTAGCATAATCCAGAGGATACAAGATGACACAATATAAAAATGTAGATGGTTTACCAATGCTATATATATAGTATAGGTGTAAATGTATCAAATCCCTTAAAATGTCTTATCACAAAAATCCACCATTTAACTTAGTGAAATCCATGACAATGGGGTAAATTAATAGGTAGAAATGTTCAGTTGTCATGTTAAGAAAATTAAAAAAGGACATTATGACTGTGCCCCAATGAATAGACCTATTCCATTTATTAAATGGTTTTATTAGGTAGTGGCATGCTAATTTGTCTTAAAGAAAAAGTGATGTGACAGATGTTAAGTGGTACATACACAGTACAGTGCTTTTGAATGGGTAAGCAATGCCCTTTTGTTTCTGTACAGCGAGCCTCGAAAAGTCATCCTGCACAAAGGCTCCACGGGACTTGGTTTTAACATTGTAGGCGGAGAAGATGGGGAAGGCATTTTCGTATCCTTCATCCTAGCAGGAGGGCCAGCGGATCTCAGTGGAGAGTTGCAGAGAGGAGATCAAATTTTATCTGTAAGTATAAAATTGGCTGGCTAATTACTGGTTCTTGTTGTCTTTTCATGTGTTGGGAAAACATAATCTTGGCTTTTCAGTCATTACTATTTCACTGAAATAATACCAGGAATTTCTTAAAATGTTTGGACTATTTTATTTTATAGATTACATGACATACAGCGTATAGAATATATGGTGAGATATGTTGAAAAAGATTAGTAGCATTTCTGAGGGAAGGCCTGCATAACTCACGCAGAGCTTTGCCATCATAGAGTAATGTCATTCCAAATTCATGCTAATAAAGCCTTAGATCATACATCACTTGTGCATGTGTGAACAAAGTAATATCCATCTTTTTATAACCTAATACAGAATATAGAACTAATAACCTAGTGGTTCTTTTAATTGAGAAAGTGAGGGACATGAGTGAACAAGATTTTCAAACCAGGCCAGCTCCCATTTAGACACTCACACTTGGTCTACATTACAAGTTAGGGGTGTGATTCCATTGTGCATGAGTGTAAATAGCAGGGTAACCATAAATAGCATAGATAGCAGCAGCAAATACATAGTTTACCTGTCTGGAATACAAACCAGCACATACCCAGGGGCACCAACTTGACACGTTGCCGTTACCTGGCTATGATGGCTATGCTGCTATTTATATTCATGCTAGCTTGTTGTGACTGTGAGCATGTATATGGGAGTGGGGAATCACACCTCTAGCTCACAGTATAGATGTATCTTCAAATAAGAGCCCAACTTTCAAAACCATCCAGGAGCTAATTGTGACACCTATGGCCAGATTTTCAAACCCAGCTCAGCGTATTAAGATGTGACATTCTTCTAAAAATCTAGTCAAGCGTGTCACAATGTGCTGCTGGGTGCTGACCATGTTTGGAAGCCTAGCCCCTATTTAGGTTCTAAAATGGAAGTGAGCTCTTTATTCTGCCCACTTAGGATCTATAGTAGTGAAAAGATGGATGCTGCAGTGGTCAATCTTCCGGCGTTTGATTTAGTGTGTCTGGTAAAGACCTGCTGAATTGAACACAGAAGGCACTCCCATAGACACTGATACTCTTCGATTTGTGAGAGGTAAGGGAACTCGATGGGAGTGTCCTTCCATTGACCACCAGCTGTGAAGCAAAAGATCAAACTGAGGTACATTGACTCCAGCAATTCATCCAGCAGAGGTTGCATAGCTTAATTTGAACTTCGGGGTAAGTACAGATGTGGCCTCAGAAAAGATTTCTTGGCTAGAAATGTCCTTTTTTTCCCCTGTTGTGCTCATATGAGTGCAACTCTAGAAAGGCCTAGTAATCAAATCATTTACATCAAGTACCAGAATGTTCTTTCTTCCTCTTTCACACCCTTCTTGGAAACAAGCTGGATAGAGTCAGAGAGAACCTCTATCTTTTATTTTCCCTCCTTTGAGAGAGGTAATATTGGAACAAGCTAGACCATGGACGCCATCTAGTGTATTTTGAGCTCATTAGCATGTGTTCCAATACAAGAAGTTTAGCTTTGTATTCATTATTTCTGTGCTTGTAATGAATTCAGTTGTAGCTCTGCAATTCATTTTCAGATTTTTAATAAATAAAAGCTTTTGCAGCTTTAAGCTATATTTTGCATGCAGAGTCTCATTAACATCTTTATAATCCTTTTTCATGTATGTATTGCTAGTGAGCTGTTAAGAAATAGAGTGATTATGTTTCAAGGACTGCACAACAATTGGTCATATGATTTAAGTGTTCTGTATAAAGAGGATATTAAATCACAATCAGAATATCCATAAAGTATCCTCCTGCAATGGTTGAGCATATGGAATAATGAAGATATACAGTGCAATCTCTGGGTCTGATTCAATGTGAATCTATGATGGTATTTGGTTCTCATCACTATGCTCAGCCTGTAAGGATGACCTAGCTATCTCAAATACTCTGTTCAGCCCCATTACTATACCTGAGTTCTTTCGCATCGTTAAATGTATTCACATTAACAGTACCTCTGTGAGCTACCTTGTGTTAGTTACTATGTTTTACTTGTGTAGTTTCCATAAACAAACACATAATATGTTGATGGCTGCACTGTCACAGATTCCCACAGGTGTATATTCTATCAACCAGGAGTCAGGTTCCTGCTACATAACAAATGTTTAAGGTTACATTCAAAAGGGAGTTTGAAATATCATGTGTTCACAAAACAAAAGTAGAATTCCTAAGTTAGTTCGAATTAACATTGTAGTGTAGACGTATAGGATAGATTAATTATAGTTTTATAAGCAATCGTGTTACTGTTGGAAAGACCTAAAACTGAAAAAAAAATAAAGAAGAAATATTGTTTCTCTAATCTGTTTCAGTTACAATCATTTTACTTGTAGGTAGCAGGTTAAAACTTTCAGGCAGATGTGTGGAAGTGTTGACATTACAATTTGGAAGACACCCATGTCTGGTGTGTAGCTGAGTTTTGCACATGCTGAAAGACTCTTGTTAAGAGCCAAGCACCAGGTATTTAAGAGTACTTAGAACCCACTGTCAGTTTCATTTAGCATGGACACTCTAATTGACAATTTTTTCCCCATTTTTTTCTTCTCTTTCTCTCCCCATCTCCTCTCTTTCTCTGCTATTTATTTTGTACTCTGGACCCCTAAACTCCATTCATCTGAAAAAATGGGTTGTGCCCATGAAAACTCATGATACCATCTACATTTTTTGTTAGGTGCTGCAGGACTATTAGTTGTTTTTTAAGTTTTTTTCTTGTAAATTTATTATCATTTCCAGTTCTCTGTTCTTTTAATTTAATTATGTTGGTAAGTCTGATACATGTATTTAACCATAACAAAATCTGCAAGTATTTAATAGCACTTTGCCTCTGAGATTCAGGCTTATTCTTTAGTCCAGTTTCTTGGTTGCCCTTCCTTGTGCATCAGTCATAGTTTTCCAGTCTATTTACATTTTCATGACACAATTGTTCCATCTCTCTTTATTATCTTGTCACCGGTCTTCTAAGATTTTTCCATCCATGAGCAGAGTGAGTTTTATCTTGTGCACCAATATTGAGGGCATGTGCACTTGTTTGGCTGTGTGCCACGGTGGCACCAAGTTATAAACCTCTCCCTTTTCCCCTCTGCTGCCTTGTCTCCCTTCATCCCATCTGCTACCCTGGTATCTGCTGCTGCCCCTCACCCTCCTCTGCTGTCCTAGCTCCTGCCCTTCTCATTCCCATCAGCCCTCCTGGGAACTGACTTCCTCCCCATCCTTCTTGACATCTGCACCTGCCCTTCTCTTTTCCCTGTGTCCACTCCTCCTCTAGCCCTACTCTGATCATCTGTAGTTACCTCTCCCCATACCCTCTCCTAACATCTCCCTCTATGCACCTGCCCTGCCTCTCTTCTCTGCCCTTTGATGCCCATCCTTCACTCCCCACGTCTGCCCTCTGCTTCACCCCCACAACCTCCCTGGCACCTTCCCTTACCCCCTGCACCTCTTGTTGCCACCCCCCCTTCCATCACTGGCCAGCCCCTCCCAACACCTGCACCC